CCAAAACGTCCTCAACGGGCAGATGCGCCTGGGCTTGCCGGGGGAGGTATTCGCCCGGTCGGATCAGTCCCGCCAGGTCTCCAGCCCCAGGACTGACCCTTACTCGGCGGCTCAGCTGCACAACCAGTACGGCCCCATGAATATGAATATGGGCATGAACATGGCAGCCCACCACCACCACCACCCAGGTGCCTTTTTCCGCTACATGCGGCAGCAGTGCATCAAGCAAGAGCTCATCTGCAAGTGGATCGACCCTGAGCAGCTGAACAACCCCAAAAAAAGTTGCAATAAAACTTTCAGCACCATGCACGAGTTGGTCACCCACGTCTCGGTGGAGCACGTTGGGGGACCCGAGCAGAGCAACCATGTCTGCTACTGGGAGGAGTGTCCCCGCGAAGGCAAGCCCTTCAAAGCGAAATACAAACTGGTCAATCATATCCGAGTGCACACGGGAGAGAAACCCTTCCCCTGCCCCTTCCCTGGCTGCGGAAAAGTTTTCGCCAGATCAGAAAATCTCAAAATTCACAAAAGGACGCACACAGGTAATTCGTGTTTCTTTCGGCAGATTTCCCCTCTCTGCCCGTGCCTATATATATGTGTAGAAACCGGTAGAGACTCTGTGATGTAAAATTACGAGAGTGATAAAATAAGGTTCCAGTTTCTTTTTTTTCCCCGCTCCATCACACGGCTGCGTTTGTTTTGGTTTCCTCCCCACCAGCATACCCCCTCCCTTCCCAGATTTCGAAAGGATATTTTACTGATTTGTTTTAATTTGCGGGGTGAGAAGTGTAGATTCGTGTCGAGGCTTGGCGGGGTCTTTCTGCAGAATCGCAAAATACAGCGCGAACTAAATTCTGCCGTCCTGCTAAAATACGGGAATCTATCTTAATCTATCTATCCATCCATCCATCCACATGAAACGCCTTACACATTTGCTACACGCAACGTATTTGCATACAACTTCAGCGCTTGGGAGCATGGCTTTTATGTATGGATACCGAGAGAGAGAAACTATATAAATACGTGCAAAATCCGTCATTAGTCCTAAATCCTGTTGGAAGTGGCAAAACGTCCCTTTCTGGGAATGCTTTCCATTAAATTTAAATGGTGTGAGCAAGGCAATAAAATTTTCTCATTTTAAAAAAAACCAAAGTGTTTTTAAAGTCTCACTCAATGTGATTTAAGGTGTTTTCGCAACAGTTTATTAAATTATGTAATAGGGAACAGAGGATTTGAGGCTCGGAAACTTCCACCCAAATCAGGTGGCAGAGGGGCGAGGGAGCCCAGGCTTTCCCGATGGAAAATCGCCTGAGCCGAAGAGTAACAAAAATAAACGCATCCTCCCGCCTCATCTATTATTCATTTACTACTCCTGCCGGCTCGAACCGTGCCAGACTATTTCATAAAAGACGGCCAAATATTTTAGCGACTTCCACTCTAAATATTTACCCGGAGAAAGGCTAAAAATCTCGAGGCCTATTGTTTTCTCAAGTGCTAAGCCCGATACGAGGTGCGAGACGAGCTTTAACAAGGTTTAAAATTTGAGAAATGTATTTGCATGAGATGCCCGCACTGAAGTCATTGTGTCTGAGCGGATGTCTTTAAGAAACAATTTAGGTGCTAATGGAATTTAATGTTAAATGCTTCCCTCTCCAAAGGAGGGGGGATGTGGAGTTCTCACCTCCAAATTACTCCCCGGCATTTGGAGTCCTGGCAGCCGGGCGAGAGGAATCCCTATGAAAATTAAATGAAGTATTTTACAGACGTTTAGTTTTCCCAGCGGATGTGCGTTTATCTCGAATATCCATACACGAAACAATACGCCCGGCCTTAAGTCTGTTGGTAATGGTTTCCAGTTTAACAGGATAGCGGATTTGGTACCGAGGCGAAACGACTCGATGTTGCTT